CTTGAGGCCCGGGACAGATTAGAGGTCGCAGGAACCCCGTAGTACCGGTACCGACCAAAGGGGGGAGGGTGGTACTCCAGTACTCCTCGCCGGAACCGGCTTACCCAACAACTTCGGGCACGACGTTACCCGGTGATCGGATGCTCGAAAATAGGAGCAGGGGGGCGCCTCCCTGGCCGCTAGGCCGCTGTAAGATGGTAGGGGGCGGTGCCCTCCAGCGGGAGCTCCGATCGGCCTTGGGGGGGTTGGCACCGACTTGCTAGGCGGATTCCGCCTCTCCCTGGGCACGGCTCGGTTGGCAACCCATAAGTCGTCGACGGTGCCCGCTGCGTTCTCAACTTGCCGGCACTGCTCCTCCAAGAACCGCAGCAGGTCCCTGAAGGGCGGAATATAGGAGGCGCCGTCCTCGCCGTACCTCTCCTCAAAATGGATTCTAAGATCGAGAGGCAGCGGGACAGCACGATGTGGAGCAACAAAAAGGACCATTCGTCCACGGGTAAATACAGCCGCCTCAACGAATTACAGGCCACTACGACTGGATTTACGATGTCCGGACGTAGTCTGGCCCGGTCCCTAAGCAGCGGGAGGTTTAGTAGCTGCCTAACGTATTCGTCCGCAACTCACCGGACGTTGGCGTATCTTCCGGCGAGGAGGTCCTGGGCAGTCTGGTAGGCGTCGTCCGACAATCTCAAATGGTTGACGGCGTCCAGGGCCTCCCCCTCCAGTGAGGACAGGAGGTATGCCATCTTCTGGCTTGGTGTCAAGTCCCTCCGGGCGTCCACTAGGCTATCAAAAAGGCCAACAAAGGTCATCCAGTCGGAGAGGACCCCGGAGAACCTTGGCAGGTCCAGCGTTGGGAGTCGTCTCAACAGCTCCGGCTGAGTGGGCTGCTTCCGAGGGGACTCGAGCAGGCCACTCAGCCGAGCTTCACGCGCTTCTTCGATGCTTAGCCCCCGCCTCGATCAAGTCGTCCGTGAGCGAGAATTTTTTTTCCCGCGAGGCAGGAGTCTAGGACTCCCTGTTCCGCATCCGAGGCCACAAGCTCAGTGTAAGCCTCCTCCACTAGGGCCCTTCGGGCCACGACCTGCTCGAGCCGCTTCCCTAAACTATGGACCCGATCGGGTCGACCTATCAAGGTATGGGCGTTCGCGGCCCAGCGCAGCTCCGCTTGCAGGCGAAGCGCCGGTAACTTGTGCGATGGCATCACTACTAAATACAATTACTATTAAATTAAATTAAATACAAATTACACTACACGGCACAAATACAAATCAAATTAACAAATAACAAATACTATTACTATTAAATTATGTTAAATACAGATTACACTACACGGCAAGTACACACCACCGTCGGTCAGCAAAGATGCCTCGCTGAAGCGACTGACCCTTCAGCAATTTAATCTACCTCCCGAAATACCTGACGCGTAGGTCAAAAAGAATAACAAAAAGAAAAAAAATATTTTTACGTACGTATTTATTACCTACTACTTTTATTAATATTACGGCCGGGCGTGATTGGAGAACCAATCAACCACGCTCTGCTGCCGGAAAATGTTACGCCTCTCAGTTGCCCAGACAGAAGTCGACTGTATTAGGGCCCATCAGTAATACACTCGACGAGCAACCAGAGAGTTCGGGCCCAATGGCCTATGGATTATTTTGGCTGCTAAGCAAACAAAAACTTACCGAGTTCCGGAGGTATGGTTGACGACAGGGTACCAGTCAGGTGGTAAGTGAGGTGTATGTAAGTAGTGAGTGAAAGTGTGTATAAATGTCACCTGACTTAACCGATGTAGTTGGACAGCAGATCAACAGGCGCTGCTTTTCTCCAAATGTGCGATCCCTCCAATGGTCGTTCACCAATTGAAACTTTCAACTTTTATTTCACTATATTAGTTTATCAACTTTATTATACATTTAATTAACTTCAAATTTAACTAAATTCACGTTAACCGAAATTAAAACAAGTGACACGCGGCACAACTTAAGAACGATCGGTCAAAGTTCAATGTTCCATGTTCACTTAGCAACAAACCCGATCTCTTCTCGAGTCACAAAGTTAAGCATTCCACACGACAAAGCAAAATTCCTTCCCACGATATTAAAATGCCACAAAGCACGACTAGCCTCGTTATCAAATATACGAACGAAATAAGGCAACTCAAAGGAGGCGGTTCCAAGCGCAAAATTCCAGGCCGTCTCATCGATACCGAGGTCGCTAGCAACTCTTCTAGACTCGTCTCGATCGCTGCGCCCTCAAATGGAATGCGAGAGAGATAAAATAAAATAAAATGTTCCGCCTTTTTTTCGTCCTACTAAACACTTACCGTTACAGCCTATTTTAAGTCCACTTCTAAACATAGGCCTTTCCCATATATTGCCTCATAGGGGGTATATTTGCCATGGCTGCCACTATGTAACAAGATACGTGTACTGTGTACTAGAACGGTACACTGACTAGGCATGACGATCTGAAATCGATTAATCGATTTCTTGTTCCAGAAAGATCGATATTTAGCAGTGAATCGATATTTCACCCTAGAGATAGAGATTGTATTTTTTGTTTTGATAAGAACCATAAAATTATTTACAATTAGCTGAGTGTACCCAAACACGTAAAAAAATTACAGTTTTTTAATTACGTGGTAGAGCCATGCTGCATCTATATTTTTTTTTTTTATTTAAATCACAGTTCATCTGCTGTTGTTTCTTTTACAGCACCTTTTATACGTTTTTTTAAATTATTTTACTTTAAACTATTATTTTACTTTTTTTTATAATTCTTTTTATTTCTTTATTTTTTTTATTTTTAATTTTTTTTTTTAAATAATTTATAATTAACACTTACATTTTTAAAACTTATTACTAATTATCATGTATTCCGCTACTCTTTTTCAATGTTTTACGCTAATTACATTATCTGTTTGAAGCTAATTACATTAACTACTTCATTTTCTTATCTTTTATTATTTACAACGACCCTTTTATTTCTGTTAGTATAATATCCTTCCAATCAACTATTTTTACTGTACAATTACATTGATATAACTTTACATATTTTCTGTATCTTGATGTGAGTATTTCTTTTCTTTTTTTTCCCTTGTTATTTGTTAATAATAGTATAGGAAACATTTTTTTTACACATGCTTTTGCACATATTATAATATAGTTGAAATTATTACTAATTATTATGTGTTTCGCTATTAAATTAATATTTTACTCTAAGTACATACATAGTCTGTTTTAATCTACTTCCATTAAACTAATTCATTTCTTTTTCTTCTACTATTTAAAACAATCCTTTTATTTCTGCTAGTATTACTACGTTACTTTGTTCATTTATTACTTTGTGGTTCTAAATGTGAGTATAAAAGTTTTATTATTACTATTTCCCATATTATTATTATCAATATTTGTTATTTGTGTTTTGAATTATTCTCTTTGAGAATGATTTCAGTGCTTTGTTTTGCGAATTTTAGAAAGTGAAATCGACTGTCACTGCTGTTAATAACTTTACATAAGGTTTCCTCTTTTAGCGCAAAGCCCATACTTTGCTCGCATGAAAGTCTTGCATAAGCAAATTTCGGACAGTCTAAAAGGATATGTTCTATTGTTTGCGATGTTTGATTATCACAGCTACAGTAGGTGACAACTTAAATCTAAACAGGTATGATTTAAAGCCTCCGTGACCTGTCAGAATTTGTGAAATGAAATTGTTAACTTTTACTTTACACATATAGTTTTATATGCTTCTCTTATACAAGGAAAGAATTTTCTTGTCGTAGACCCTGTGTTGGATGTGCTGTACCTTTCTTGCCACCTTATAATTGAGTTGTCCCTGATTTGACGCTTTGCAAAGGACAGTGGGAAACAGTCGTAAGTTGGCGCTTGCTTAGACGTCTGCGCTGCCAATTTCGCCAATTCGTCAGCTCTTTCATTCCCTGGAATTCCACAATGAGCTTTAATCCAGAAGAACTTCACCTCGCCTTGGTTGTTACGTATTTGCTCTATATCTTCTAGAATTTCAGCTACCAGAGGATTAAGAGTGCTAGGATTTGAAAGGCTTTCCAGGGCCGACCGAGAGTCACTCAGTATATTAGACTTACTAAATCCCCGTTTGATTTTTATGATACTGAGTGCCTTCAATATTGCAACTAGTTCCGCCTGGAAAACACTGCAGTGATTACCTAATTTTATTTTTACCTTGTTGGGTTTCCCTTCCATTTTCCCAGCAGCTTACAACCTTTCCTGCGATTTTACTACCGTCAGTATAGATAGCAGGCCAGTTGTTTTCTATCATTTCAACATCCTTTTCTGTATATATGTCATTGTAAGTCTCTGGGACACGGAACGCTGGATGTGGAAGGTTAAAAGGACTTATTGGTATGGCATGTTTCCTCCCTGGTAGTTGCTCAATGGACTTTCCTCTTTTTATTTCGTATATGTCTAGTTGTTCTTGAGATCTTAAGTCTAGTGGTATAATTCTTGCTAAGGCGGCACAGGAAGTTAGCGAAGATGTTCGATGAGCCTTACAAATCATAATACAGAATACTCTCGTTATAGTATCAAGACGTTTGCGTATCTGTATTCTTGTTGCTTTGTTTCCCCAGCAAGCTGCCGCGTATAACATTGTAGGCTCTACGACAGTGATGTAAATAGTCCTAAGAATTTCCGAGTTGAGTCCCCATTGAGCTCTTGCTGTTTTTGAAACCTTTTTGTATAGCGCAATAGCTTTTTCTGTGGTGTCTTGTACATGTTTTACAAAATTTATGTTTCTGTCGATGTTCAAGCCGAGAATTTTCAGGTTTTCACTGAATACTATATTGGTATCATTGAGCTTTAAGTTAGGCATTTCATATTTATATTTCTTTGTTATGAGAATAGCTTGCGTTTTATGTGCCGCGAAGCTCATTTTCCTAGAGAAGCCCCAATTAGATATTCTATTTAGCGCTTTGTTGATTTTATTTTCTATTATTGATGCTGTTTTCCCAGTCCCTATTAATATAATATCGTCGGCATAAGCCTGCACGTGTACATTCCAGGTCTCAGTTTCTTGAAGCAGGGAATCCTGTGTCCGCAGATAGATCCTTGTATGCAACCTTTATCTGTGCTCCTTCCAATTTCTGTGTTGGCGTACCTAAGTGTAATAGATCTGTCAGAGAGATAACTATCTATAAGTTTTAAGGTTGTTTTATCGATTTCCTTCTTTTGTAAAGCAACAATCACCCCAGGCCACCATGCGTTATCGAAAGCACCCTCTATATCGATCGAAACAATTACCGCCATCTGCTTGTTCTTTACGCATTTTTTGACAACCTCTAGTGCGTCGTTCAGTGCATCTTCTGTCCCTCGCTGAGGAACAAAGCCGTATTGTCGGTTACTTAGTTTACTGTGACGACCTATCTGCCACGTTAGTCTGGTCACGAACAGTTTTTCAAGTACTTTCCCCAGTATTGGTAACAGGCCAATCGGACGATGGGATTTTGCTAGGGTGTAATCATCTCTATTAGGTTTTAGTATAATACGGATTATTGCATTTTTCCAGATTTTCGGAAAGTAACCAAGTGTGAGGCATTTGTTAAATATCTTCAGGAGAATGGCGGGTTCGGCTGAGTAGGTCTTGTAGCAAATGTCGGCGGTAAATCCGTCCCCTCCTGGTGAATTTTTTGGACTCATATTCATAAATATAGTCTCTACCTCTGTGGCAGTATATGGTATAATAGGATCGTTTATTATACATTCTGATAGACGTCTTCTTATATTTTCCGCTTCTGTTCTTATTTTATGTGGTTCAAATCATCTGTTGAAGTATCATCTGTTGGATAGAAAGTTTTAGCTAATAGTTCGGCGGATTGAGTAGGAGACAAGATATCTGTTGATGATGATGGTCTCAATAATGTATCATCCCTAGCCTTGGAGTTCTTGCGGATAACTCTGTATATACTTTGCCACATGTTCGCTCTATCTTGCCTAGTGCAAAATTGTTTCCAACTCTGGGTCATAGCGTCGGTTATGAGATTTTTATATTCGTCTATAGCCTGTATGTATTCTTCAATTACGAAAGCTTTCCTTCTTGGATCAGCGTGTTTTATCCTTTTCCTTTTCCTTATTACCTCCTTTTTCTTTGCGTCCAGCTCTAAGGTCCACCATGGTGTTTTTTTAAATATTTTCCTTGATAGTTTTGGAATAGCATTTTCACAAGAGGTATGTATGCATTCACTGTAAATGTTAGCGCATTGTACTACGAGTTGTGGAGTATCTATAGAGTCTATAAAGACTTCGGAAATTTTTGAAGATTTAAGTTCCTCTCTTAATTTCACGGTAAATATTTCCCAGTTTGCCTTTTTCCTATTATATATACGTGTTGAGATTCTTTGTTGTGTTTCATCTGTTACTTTCAAAGTGTTAAGCTCAAAAGTTATTGCTCTATGGTCAGAGAGGGTGACAAGGTCTGGGTCCACTTTCCAGCTTTTTATTTTCTTTAATAAGTTTTCTTATATTTACGCGAACACTACACATTGAATAAAACTATTTTTACGGATTTTATCGCATTTAATTTACTTATTTTATATTCCCGACGTTTCGGTTGCTTTCCAGCAACCGTGGTCACGGGGGACTGAGGTGATTGACGTCCCGATGTCAAAGTTAACTCGGAGTACCTTCAGCTTTTTAATTATTAATTTTGGTCCGATCTACGCAGAATGAACTAACTGTGTCTTGAAGTCTTACAGTGGTATGCTTGGGTTTAGTTTTAATTTTATGAATTACAGGATCCCAAGCAGGTGGTAGTACCCAGCCTCCCTCTCTATTGAAATTAGGATGTTTTTTAATTTCAATAGCCTCACGTATCATCCTTGGCAGGAATCGATGTTCTTTCGCGAGGACTTGTGGTTTATCAAATCTAATGTAATGACGGGGCCCCCGTCAGAGAATCCAGAGAGACCAGATCTTACGATTCTCCGCGCAGATAAAGGTAATGCTACGGTTATAATGGATACGTCGGATTACAATTTTAAAATACAACAACTTTTATCGGATGAAAGTACGTACGTAAAGGTCAAAACAGATCCTACAATTAATACGCTTAAAACAACTAGCGATCTAATAAAGAAATACTCCGAGAAACTGAATCTAGACGTAAATTCCATAATACCTACGTGTGCCAAACCGCCGAAGTTGTATGGGTTACCAAAAATACACAAACCGAACGCTCCATTACGTCCAATAGTGAGTCAGATCGATTCGCCAACTTACAGATTGGCTCAACACTTAGCAAAAGTACTATCACCACTCAGAGGACATACAAGAGCACACACTAAGGATTCATACCATTTCGTCAGTGAGATAAAAGACCTATGTCTTACTGACAATGAAACTATGGTCAGTTTTGATGTTCAGTCTCTATTTACATGCCTACCAGCCTGTTGAAGACTGCATCTCAATTATAACTAGGAAACTAGAGGAAAACAACATGCCAGCAGAATATGCAGTATTACTCAGACATTGCCTTACATCTGGCTACCTATTGTGGAAGGAACAGTTTTACAAGCAAGTAGATGGTGTTGCGATGGGCTCACCGGTATCTCCCATTGTCGCCGATATTTTCATGGAGGACTTTGAGGAGAAAGCCCTGCTTACTGCACCAGTAACTCCAAGTTTCTACAAGCGGTACGTAGACGATACTTTCACAATTTTACTATCAGACAAAGTAACTGCATTTTTAGACCATCTTAATTCCATAAACTCTAAAATTCAATTTACTATGGAGTTAGAGGCAAATAATTCTTTAGCTTTCCTAGATGTGTTAGTCATTCGAAATCCTAATAACACCGTAGGTCACACTGTGTATAGAAAAAAGACCCATACAAACCGATACTTAAACGGTGAATCCCACCATCACCCTTCACAGTTAGCTACCGCGGGCAAATCTTTGTTGCAGAGAGCACGAGGGATCTGTGACAGCAAACACCTGGCCGCCGAGCTTCAGCACGTCAAGCAGGTTCTGCACGACAACAAGCTTCGGGTTCCGCGCCTACGTCACAGTGACCGAGTGAAGCCGGCCACAGTCGAGCGTGTGCCTGCTGTACTACCATATGTCAGAGGTGTCACAGACAAGATTGGCTACATCTTGAAGCGAGCTTCTATTAGAACATTCTTCAAGCCGCCGAAGAAGATTAGTCAGTTCTTACCATCCGTCAAGTGCAATATTCCTCTACAAGATGCAGGAGTATACAAGCTTGATTGTGAGTGTGGTCTCTCATATATAGGGCAAACAAAACGATCAATAAAAACCCGCGTAAAAGAACACATAGCTGACGTGAAGCACCAACGTTCCGGGAAGTCTGCAGTTTGTGATCATATCCTAGACGGCCCCCGTCATTACATTAGATTTGATAAACCACAAGTCCTCGCGAAAGAACATCGATTCCTGCCAAGGATGATACGTGAGGCTATTGAAATTAAAAAACATCCTAATTTCAATAGAGAGGGAGGCTGGGTACTACCACCTGCTTGGGATCCTGTAATTCATAAAATTAAAACTAAACCCAAGCATACCACTGTACTGTGACTTCAAGACACAGTTAGTTCATTCTGCGTAGATCGGACCAAAATTAATAATTAAAAAGCTGAAGGTACTCCGGGTTAACTTTGACATCGGGACGTCAATCACCTCAGTCCCCCGTGACCACGGTTGCTGGAAAGCAACCGAAACGTCGGGAATATAAAATAAGTAAATTAAACGCGATAAAATCCGTAAAAATAGTTTTATTCAATTCTTTAATAAGCTTGATGTACATGCGGTAACATCAATGATACTGGTATATTCTCTATTACCCCTGCATGCATGAAAAGTTGGTATATGTCCCTCATTTAAGATGTGTAAATCCAGTTGTGCTACATGCTACTATATTTTCTGTTACTGTCTTTTGATTTATGCTATACTGTATATTTGGATTGACAACAATGACAGCCGATTTAACTGGTTTCTGTTTATTATCAGTTTCTTTTTGAATTACCCTATATTTACAGCTAACATGAGCTTTAGCCCCAATATAAGGCTCTTGAACAAGAAGGATTGAGATTCCTTGTTGTTCAGCTGCCTGCAGACTTTCTTGCATCGCGGCTTGCCCTCTGCCGAGATTTATTTGGGCAATTTAGGCAATCTTATCTTTTATCTTTTCTGGAAGGGAATTGTTGTACTTAGCAATATGCTGTTAAGGATCTGGCAATTCTATCCCATCTTTTCCACTCAGGACATTCTGGGCTGTAAGCTGGATGAATACATGCTTTGTCATCTGGATTTTTTTTGCTGCAGTTTACGCATTTTGGGGCTGCATTTCTATTATGGCACTCTCTTGTGTCATGAAATTCTGCACGATAGCCACAAAATGCCTTCTCCATTTTACATTATTTTGCACAATGGGAGAATCCAAGACAGCGGTAACATTGCACTAGCGGAGTTTGATCAATTGCTGGAACGATTTGAAAGCCAAGTCTTAGTCTTTGGTCTTTAAGTTTACACCATACCTGTGGGCTTGCCTCCAGAATTATGTTATTTGTAGATCTAGTGCGACCTTTAACCCTGCTTATGACTTTAACATATATTTGTGAGTTCGGTATTTTTCTGAGTAAGGAGCCGTTCTGCTTAATTACAGCTTCTTCAATTTTCTTATCGTTTAGATCATGAACGACCCCTATTAACCGCAACAGAAGATTTTTATTGGCAAGTCTTTGTACGGTTAATTTATTTGCACTGCTTCTGAGTTTTTCTTTCAGAACCTGTCTGTAGCCCTCAGTCTCGCAGCTTCAGGACCTTTTGTTGGTTACATTTTTTAATGTGGTTCACTCCTATGCCCAATTCAATTATGTCAATTCCATTTTTGACTTGTTTTATTATGTCATCACTCGTGTTCCTAGGATCGGCTGACTCTATCATAATTGAGTAGTTTGGTCTTGCCGTTATCTCTGAATAAGAGCGAGAAAATGTGTTAGCTTTTTCGTGCATTTGTTTGTATGTTCTAGTGTTTCTATGTTGTTCTAATGATCTCTCTTGGGCTGGTTGTACTCTTACTTCGTTTCGTAGTCCCTCTATAGCCATTCGGATGGGAGCGGCTGATTCCACTGTTGTGTCTTGCAGCTCCCTGGTTTCTCGCCTAAGTTCCTCTATGCTGGCTTGTACAGAGGTAATTAGAGAGTCTACAGGGTACCTATTAAGATTTGTTACGTCCTCAATGATTTGGGATACCTGATGACGAAGGTCAGTTGTCTCCCAGAAACTGCGATTTCATTTCTAGGATATGTTGCCGCAGCTCCTGGGAAACACCTCGAATACACTCCTCAAGATCCATCTCTTGATCTGTTGGAGGCTCGCGGGCCTTCTGAAGAGATCGTTCATCCCTTAAAGATTTTAGCTCGCTTAATACATTACGTATTTCATGTAAATCTGCAGCAAAGTGAGGAGGGATGGTAGGTTCCTTTGTTGTGGAATAGCACTGAGGTTTCAAGCTCTCACGGAGAGTTCTAAATTCTTCTATCAATATCTTTAGCATGGTTATGGAGGTAGACATTGATATCTCCTGTTTGACTGTAGTAACCTCGCGTTTGGTTTCCGTTATGGCAGTACATAAATCGTATGACAGAATCATTCTCATTGATTCGGCTTCTTTTTGTAGTTT